ATACTTATTATTAACAATAATAAATATTGAATAATAAAATCACTCTTACTACATATCACGAGATTTTTTCGTGAAAAACATTTTTTTCCTTCCTTCAGTTTAACATTGGTGGCACTAGTAAAGATTTCTGTTAAAGCAATACCATTCTCATTTACTACAATATCATTTGTTAGATACCATTTATGTTTTTTATCAAATTTAAATTATCTTCGTCAACGGTAATATAATTATTCGTCGGTTTATCATGTTTATCAAATAATGCAATTTGATAGAGTTGGGTAATATAACCAAAATGACTACTTATTATGGGTCTTCCAGGATTCGTGTTAGAATCATTATACTAGACTCTATTCATCTTATCCTTATATTTCTAAATGAAATTAAACTTTGTTATAAATATCTTTTGAATTATTAATTGATAACAAATAGTTAAATATATTCATTAAACTAGACTAACAAATCCAAAAATTGGGAAAAACATCAATACAAATCATGGGAGCGATAGTGACCAAATGCTGCATATACGATGGCATTTCCCAATTTTTAACGCAGTTTACACTGCTAAAGAAATAGGTGGAGCATGAAAGTGTTCGGTTTCCCATTTTAAACAACGTTTAATACAATGTATTAAACATCGTTTAAATCTAAAATAACAAAAATACTTATAAATTTTTATTTTGATAAATTTTTTTAATAATATATAAGTAATTGAATTAATAAAAATATATAATTATCACAATATAAATATAATAATTTTAATTTTTCTTTAAAGTATAATATTTTCTCAAAATCTTTTTTTTCAAGAAAATGGATTTGGAACCTGGTAGATATTATTACAAAGATTTGTATCAGGAATTAAAAGATGATTATACCAATCTGGCAACTTCTATAAAATTAAATTTGTAGAGAAATCGAAACGAAGTTATTACTGAAAAGCATATTATTGGAAATTACTTCTAGTTAATTATCCTGATTTATCAAAAAACGAATTGAAACATCTTGCTAATATTTTTGATGAAAATAACAAAAAGAGAAAAAGAAGACAGTGTGATCTCGAACTGAAAAAAGTTTATTCTAATCTCCTTATTTTAAGCGAGTATGAAAAAATTAAACAATCCAAGATTTATCATAGGGTTGAGCAAACCCATAAAGAATATTTAAAAGATTGATATAATAAACATGATAATGAACGTGAATTATTTTTAAAAAAGGCTAAAGCCAACAACTTGAAGTTTTCATATGTTTATTTGTTGTATAGTCAAGAAATTTTGTTTTTGTTATACAATCTTCAAAAATTAATTTATTGTTTATATATGATGATATTTTTAATTGTATTATTATATTAGATTTTATTTAGTAATTTTATTATTTTGTTTTGTT